GCGGGGGCCGTGCAGCGGAGTTCGCAGCTTTGTCGCAGGACTTGCGTCATGTGCAGTTGCAGCGGAGTTCACAGTTTTGTCGCAGGAGTTACGGCATGTGCAGTTACAGCGGAGTTCGCAGATTTCTCGCAGGAGTTGCGACATGTGCAGTTGCAGCGGACTGAACTTGCCCCTGCCAGCACCATCGCCGCCACACTCACTCCTATCCCCGCCTCTGCCACCACCCCAACTCACCCCCAACCCACCCCGGGTCATGCCCCCACTCTTACAACATATAACATTTAGAACGTTCACATCTTTTAAATGATTTAAGCACCCATAGTTACAACTATGTCACTAGCTACAACTACTAAAATTACATTTTAAGTATTCAGTTTTAGATCTACTCAAAGGAAGGACTTTAGAATCCAATATTGGCCTCCATAATTTAAGTTTTTTTCTAAATTTTTTCTCTAATCTTGTCTACAAAAAGGACATCACTGGAAAAAACATACACCTAGGTGCATCCTTCTGTAAATGTATGGTAAGAGAATCCATAAATAAAACAAAAACATGTGTTTACATATGATCCATGATGTAATAAGGGTTGTTAACGATCCAATGTCAAGCAAAGCTAGGATCGATCAAAATTGGCTTGAAAAAAAATCAATCCAAAATTTTGGCTCATAACACGAATCATTTATTTCGATTTGATCTTGATCCGATCCAAAATTCAAATCAATATTTTGAGTGATTAACGGTCTTTGAGCTAAATTTGGTAAATTTACAATCATATAATGTTAACGATCCGATTTCAATCCGAGTTATGGTTGGCTAAAAATTGACTCGAAAAAAATTAGATCCAAAATTTTGGCTTGCAACTCGGCTTGTTTTATTTGGTCCGATCTCGATCCAGGCCAAAATTCAAAGAAATCTTTGAGTGAATAACGATGTTTGAGGTAAACTCATAGCCCTAGATGTAATCCACCTAAATTGGAAAGTATTTGACAAACCTTCTAGTTGTTAAATCCTAAACACTTTATTCACAACTAATGAAGATAACAAATTACCTTTCTCAGTCGTTCCGGGTAGCTGAGGAGTGGAAGGAGGAGAAAAATGAGAGTTTCTTGTCATTGTAAATCGCGCTCCCATCACTGTGCTCCTAGCTAGCTTCTATTCTGACAGTATCACGAGGGATTTGGGGATGAAAGCAATGATTTCGGGGAGAATACAAGGGTTTCATGCAGAGGGTTTCAAGGAGAGGCGTGGGTTTCACGTGGATATAAGATTAGTTCCGACAGCCTATCAATGGCTTTAATTGCATCGGTTATTAAAACTATTACTGACGGCCTTTCCCGTCGCTTAGTAATAAACTGCATCGGTTAAAACTCCGCCAGGTGGCGAGTTTGAAGATAACTGACACACTATACCGTCAGTTATTTTCTTATAACTTATAGGTTATTTTGTTGGTTATAATTAAATTATGTTGATAAGTAAATGTTTATATTGTAGTTATGTCATCACAAATAATCAAGATAAAGAAATTGTCGCCAAATCATTGATAATTAGAACAATCTTTTTGACGTGTAAGAAACCGTCAAGTTTTTCCGGTCGGTTTTAGTACTTTTTCCTATAGTGAACAACATCGGACAAGTTATAATGAAATTTAAATTTCTAAATATTGTTACAAACTTTGATCAATCACAATAATAATATTATGTTCAAATATATTGTTATGGTATGACTCATATACCGTATAGGGACAGATGCGGAACGAAGCGGAGCGGAGCGGAGCAGAGCGGAGCGGAGCGGAAGAATCTGTCCAAATTGGGAAGTTACATTATGTGGGTTAGTGATGCTGGGTCAACGCCCCGCTATACGGTACAGGGGTAATTTGGGAATTACATATTGTACTGTAGGGCTTACTCTAGGATTATAAATAGACCTGTTTGTAATCCTAGGTCTTTGAGAGAGTTGAATTTTGTATTCTGTATTCTTTTCTGAATATTGAAAAGAAGGTCACCGCTCTGCTCCCGAGGATGTAGGCATCTTTGCCGAACCTCGTTAAATCTCTGTGTTCTTCTGGATTGTGTCGATTACTATTTTTCTTCGTCCTAATTTTCTCAACATATATTATTTAGCGGCCCACCTATTGGGACACAATTGATGACTATAAACTCTTTAATCAAGGTTAATATTTGAATGTAATCAAAAGTCGATAATTTTTAAATTTGAAGTTTTGAGCAATGTTTAAAAGAATTTTGTGCAAAGATTAATTAAGAGAATGCTCAATTACTTTTTCACAAATTTTCAATTTATCTAAGAGCCCTTCAAGGTATTCATTTTATTTGTTTTTCATGCCCGTGTTTTGAAAACTATATAACTAGAAATATGTTGGGCCATATATTACCCTAAGATAATGAAAGAGGATTATGATAATTTTCATCAATGAGAACTAAAATGATAAAATTCCTACTTTTAATTTGTCCAAAAAACACTCCAAATGATATGAATAGGAAGATATTTTGATAAGCACTTATTTGCTTCTAAACTACATTTCCTCTAACAATATTGAAATGAATTTCATATAATTCATTCAAACTATTTAAATTTTCATTGTAAAAGCAAAATATTGGTGATCTATGTTTAAGTATTCTTGGCATTAAATACAATTATATGGGTTTTCAAGAATCATCAACAACAACAAGCCTTATCCCACTAAGTGGGGCCGACTACATAAATCACTTTTCTCTATTGTGTCCTATTGTGTGTCAAGAATATGAATCTTGAAACAAACTAATCATAAGCTTCAATTACTTCATTGTTTTCGAGTTGATGAGAATCTCACATATTATAAAAGAATTATTTATCAAACAAATTAAAATTATTATTTGATATTAACATTATTTTTTACTAAAATGAGAAGATCTGACAACTTATGGTCCGTTTGGGGCAGCTTATAAGTGCGGAGAGCGTTTTTAAAATGTCGCCGTACTGTTTGGTTCGCACATTTCACCAGCTTATCTGAAATTGCGTTTGAGTTTTTACACTAAACGCAGGTCGCGGGTCGACCCTTGCAGTCGGCCCGTATCCTAAAACGCACAAGCTGCCCCAAACAGACCCTTAGTTTTTCTAGGCCAAGGGGATGTACTATTAAATCAATATGAAAGTTTGAAAATGTTAATATTAAGTAAAAGTGCATGATGAAATTACTGAGAAAGACAAATAAAAAGAAAAATGTTGTTTACAATTAATTAATTTATTGCCTTTAGCTTTCTCGGCTAAGACATGATACAAAAAATTATCAAAGAATTACAAAAAAAAATAAAGAAAATTTTTCTAATAGTCGTGGTATAAGGATTTTAACATACTATGGTAGCACAAATACTATTTACAAAAAAAAGAAAATTGATAATATAGAATTATGCATTAAATATAAATGGTTGAACAATACGACACTTGGGAAAAAAATATCTCTTACTAATAATTAATGATCTATTTAATTAACAAGAAGGGCATCGGTATTTTTGAAAATGGATTTGATTTTGAGATATTATCAATTAATATTTAAATGAGAAGAGGTTTGTTGAAAATTATTTTTAGCACAAGAATGGAGATTGAGTACTTCAGTCATACTTTTTTGAAGCACAAGAAGGGAGATTGAGTACTTAGTCATACTTTTTTGGTTGAATAAGACACATGTAATTTATGGACCTTTGAATCAAATTTTAAAATCATTATTGATTTATTTGTATATATGTTTGTGGATACATTGATTTATTCCAAAACAAGTGAAGTTGAGCATATGGCAGCTACAAATCATTTTGTGAGCCAAGCTATATGCAAAATTTTAAATGTGAGTAATAATAAGAGATTTGTGCAAGTGTTTTCTCATATAATAATGTCATTGTTCAAATTAACACAACAATCAATATTTAAAAGTTGAAGCAATGTTTAATTTTGATTTCAATTTTAGCAATACTTATAGGAAATGAAGGTTTTCAAGTATTTCTTTGAAGGGTGGTTTGTTGATGCAACTTGGTAGAGAGTTGTCTTATGCTTCTACTGAATTGAAGGTTCATGGAAATAATACCAAACTATTGCTTTAGAATTTGTAGCATTTGCTCTCAAAATTTTCAAAATGAAATATTTGTTGATCATCACAACTTAAATAAAATTTTCACTTTAAAATTTAAATTGGATGTAAAAGACAAAAAAGTTGATTAAGGTTATAATTAGGGTAAATTTTGCAAGCTAGTGGAACAAGTGCATAGTGGAAAAAGGAAGGATTTCATATAAATGTTTACATATTTAAAGATCATTTTATGTGTTCTATAAAATTTAGGCTTGTGATAAGGAATTTTACATGGACTTTAATTTAGCTATATGTATTATCCATCTAGAAATCACTAACATGTATTAATATACAGAGTAGATGTTTTAGTGACATGGCATGATAAATGAAAGTTGAATTTGAACATCACAAAAACCTGGTGAGATGTTGCAAGCTTTACCATACCCTACTATATATTATTTCATGTGAGTTCTTTCTATGTTATTTTTGTTATGTAAAATATACATTTCTATTTACCACAAATTTTGATTTCATAATAACTTTTTAAGTTTGGAATTTTGCATTGGCTCCATCTTTAATGTTTATCAACAACTTCCCATATCTCTATGATTCTTATCTATCAAGAATGTTGTCCCTAATGGACTTCAAAACATTCATAGTCACTTTTTATTAACAGTATTGTGCCATTAATTATATTCTCCTAGCTTATTCACTGGTTGTTTGTATCTCAATAGAATTTACATATATTTCAAACATAAAAGAAAGGTTGATAGCCTTTGCATTTTCTTTCAGAGGTTTCTTTGGTGTTAATTATTAGAAAATTTTATGTGAATCCTGAAGATAAAAGGAGAGTAACAGCTCTTTTTAGAATGAATTATTGTGATTATTACATGCTGGTGGCCAATACAAGGAAGAATTAAAAAAAAAAAAAATGGCCATCCAATGTTCAAAAGAATATAGGGGCAGAGCAACTCTCGCCTCACCCTTCTATTCCAAGAGACCTCTCCTAAAATAGACACAAGGCCTCTCAGAAGCATTAGCTTATATCAATAACATACATTGATCAACACATCCAAGTAACAATACATACCTGTGCTTTGCCTAGAAAGACGCATTCCAGAGAATGTTTTCGCCTTCACTGCATCGACGATGAACCTCTTTCATCCTCTCAGCTGACCTGCAAATTCCACTGCAGGTCCAGTCGAATGAGGCAACACAGACATTGCCAGCCTGAGCCTTCCACTCACAGTCTAAAAGCATCACAAGGAACCAACATATTATCTTTACTTTAGTTCATTCATGAGAGAATTAATTGCTACAAATGAAAAGTTAAAGACATACCAGGTGGAGTGCCACAACACAGTCTGCGGTCATCAATGTGCTCCACATCTAAGCCAATAAACCAAGCTCCCAATGAGACATCCTCATTTGCATACTTGTGAAGAACATGCCTGACATCATACAGAAATAAGCTCCATATTTGAATCACATAACACTTCAATAACACATATGTGCTCAAAATGCATTGCTGAACTTTTTAGATTTGCTTTCTCAAAAATAAGTAAATAAGCAAATTTGTGGCAGGGAAACAAACTTCATTAAAAGCTTACTGGTTTATAGATATGTAAGTAGCCAAGTCTCTTGAAATGGCATATAATTGACCGGTTGCATGCCGGAAATATTTGTTTCCATATTCACCGAATTTCCAGTACTCTGGTTCGTGATATCTCACACCGCTGCAACAAAGTCCAAGTGTTGATGTCAAACAAAGAGAGCAAATGTAAATTTCAAAAAAAAAAAAAAAAAAAAAAAAAAAAAAAAAGAAAAAAAAAACAAATGCAAAGGGCTAAGCATATATATATATCAATGTGATGCTCACTGCTGGGCCAGGACAGGTCCAGACTTCATGCATCCAATGTACACCCCATGCTTTGATCTGTGCTTTGAAAGAGTAGCCCCAAGAGTCGCTGCAACAATTTCGAAGATGTGAGTTATCATGTGAGAAGATCGCCAATGTAGAATATGAAGCTTAGAATAAAATAAAAAATGTCACATGTTAGGAAAAATAAAGTTTGATAATGTTTTTCACAATAACTTTAAAAAAAACAAATGAATTGTATGATTCCAAATTCTATAGAATTGAACATATTAGTAAAAAAAAAAAAAAGAGGGAGGGGGATGGTAAGATGGAGAATGTTTTATCAAGTTGATGAAACTCTGTAACAATAGACCAGAAAAATAATTCCAATAAAACTGAGATACAGTTGCATAAACTATGTCAGTGTAAGGAAAATGAGAGTCAATCGATACATTAGACATGGCTATATACTCCTTTTCACCAGTGTAAAGCCATAAATTTGATATAATATGATAAAAATTCTATGTTACCTATATTTACATGTATGTCATCATCAACCTTCACATAGAATTCTGCATCCCACATATTGACAGCAGTGGAAAAATACGCCTTCGTCTTCCCAGAGAGCTCAAGATACCCCTCAACATGATCCTGCAAAAAGTTGATGATAGCCATTTTGAATTTGAAGACTTCAGTGAAGGTTTTTTTCAGTTTGATGAAAGGGGGATAAATAATTGTTGTTATTCACGTAAAAAAAAATGATGCAAATGAAAAATGTGAGGACATCATGATCTAAAGGGAACAAATGTTTCAATTCAATCTAAAGGAGAAAATGAATATACCAGCCTCAGGAAATCCCCATGTTTCCTATCCTCAGCTTCAATTGCTTTGTCCAGAATGCCTCCAGGGGTTGCACTGTTTAGGTTAAAGCATGTTAAGGGAACATGATAAAAAAAAATGCCAACTGTTTGAAAAGATCATCTAGGCACCCACTTCTATATAGAAAAACATCTTTTATAAAAAACAGAAGGAACAAGCCACCTAGTGCTATGCAAGCAGCATGGTGCCTACACGACACCCTAGTCGCCTCACGAAACAATTAGTATTAGGAATATATTCATAACCTAATTCAAATTATCATGATCAAATAAATATGAGAAAATAAAACACACCAAAACACCTGGAATTTTCATATAGATTCGCCCAATTGATCATTGCTTCCTACTTTTGCAATCGCAGTCTCCACTATGATGCCGTTGATGAAATTTTACATTAAAATTTAATGATGCTACTCACTCTCTATATTTAGTTAAGTATCACTTATATGAATCCTTAAATAAGGTTGATTTGTACACTATCTCTTAGTAAGTCATTTTTTAATAGGATATTAATTAGGCTCCACAATTTGATAACCACAACCATTCTCATTTTTTATTGGGAATAGACATTGAGCTATCCATTAGAACATTCCTCAACTCTCACAATTTTCTAAACTCTCTCCACTCTCTCCTAGCAATAAATTCTAAATTTCCCCAATCTCTCTAATTCACTCTCATACTCTCTTTCAAGTATTTCTACAAGTTCATCACCAAATACAAGTTTGTGGATGTCATGAGGGAAATGTTTTGTCTGGGTTGTCTGAAATTCTTGTAACAACCATATCATACAAAATATATGATGTGATATTCTTCACTCTCTCCTATTATTATATTGTAATAACCTTGGGATCACTTATTCCCTCTAGAGTTTTCTATTTACGTCTTTATATGCTTGTATTGTTCACAGTTAAAGTAATTAAGGCCATTATGCAAAGCAGTACAATGAATTATACTTTTTGATTTGCTGTATATGCATCTTCTCCTCTGCTCTCTATACTAAATGTCGCAGGTCTTTATGGTATCAGAGCCAAGCATCTCCACCTTCTCGGCAAAGTTCAAACGCAGTTAATCCAAAGGTATTTTATCCCTTTTATGGATCTTCGTCTCCTCCTGCAAGCACCAAACCCAAAGATGCCCTTTCTACCGTTCTATCAAAGCTTCCTCTGTGTTTCAGTTGACACCCTGTAGCAACAATGTCTCGAACAGCAAGCTTCTCCACCAAAAGATCGGAGGCATCTCCTTCATCTTACCAAAAGGACATAGCAATTCCTTCAGCATTTAAATTCCTAATGTCAAATGTAAAAACAATAGCTCGTGTTCAGCTACCAAGTGATAACTGTCCAACATGGAAGCCTGAAATACACAAACTGTTTAAAGCTAACAGTTTCGACAGCTTCTTAGAAGGTACTGAAATCTTTCCTCCTAGACAACTTCAACACTCGGATGGTCACTTCTACACAAATCCTGACTTTCTCCAATGGAACTGATTGATCAAAATCTATCTACTGCTATATACTCAACAATCTCCCCCTCTATTCTCCCCTACATCCTCAACCTGGAATCATCTGTTGAAAATTGGAGCACACTCGCCAAACGCCTTCAAGCAACCAATCGATCCAGTCTCTTGCAATTGAGAAATACTCTACATAACATCTCAATGAAGGATCTCACTATGTCTCGATATCTGCAGAAGCTCAAGTCCTTAGTGGACAATATAACCGTTGTTGGAGAATACATCGATACGGAGGATATTATCTTGCACACCCTCAATGATTTACCATCGAGTTATCAGTTGTTTAAGACAGCCCTTCGAACAAGATCGGAACCCATTCATCTCGATGAACACTACTCTCTCAGCAAAGAGAAAAATATGGCCGCTGAACAGGCCAAAGAAACCAATGTTGCGGCCATTGCAATCCACTCGTCTACGAATAGGGGGGCGTGGCACCTTTTGTGGGTCGGAATAATAGAGGTGGACGCAACAATGCTCTTTCCCAACCTGGAAGGGGAGGCTGAAACTCTTCCTTTCCTACATAAGGAAACACCTGTCAAATCTGCGGAAAAAAACGGTCACACAACTATAATGTGTTGGCATCGAAACAACTTTCATGTCTATCCATCTCCAAAATCCGACACAACCCTTCTAACCACCACAAAACACCACAAATGGATAGCGGAGCCACATCTCATCTCACATCCACCTTGGAGAACCTACAACAGCCTATTCCTTATCAAGGGAATGACTCCATATTGGTCAGCAATGGCTCCAATCATCCAATTACATACACTGGTTAATGGTTACTCGCTACTCCTCAGAGTAAGCTTATTCTACCAGATCTCCTATACTCACCTCATCTTTCTCATAGCCTCATATTCGTCCATAAACTTACTTCTGATAATGATTGTACTGTTGGTAAGGAGCCCGTTCAACGAAAAAAAAAAGAAAGAAAAAAAAAAACTGCTTCTATAACTATTCCCGCTCGCTCCCACCTTCCTGTCTTCTCCAGTGAAATTTCCTCAATTAATAAAATATTTTGCAACTCCATGAATGCATTCAATTTGTCGAACCACGTAAATTTGTATGTTTTTTTCTGGTGTGAAGTTTTCCTCGCTCAATTTTTTGCTTCATCAAAGTCGATTATTTTAAATTTTATATATATCACAACAACTGGTATCAGAGTTAATGGTTGCAGATGAGGTGAAGGTTTTAAGGATCGAGAAGTTCGATAACACAGATTTTGGTTATTTGATGATGCGATAGAGGACTACCTCTATGAAAAGAAACTTCATCTTCCGTTATTGGGAAAGACCTGAAAGAATGGATGGAGTTGAATGAAATCTGTTGGATCGACAAGTTCTGGGGGTTATTCGACTGACCCTATCGAGGTTCGTTGCAAATAACATCGTCAAGGAGATGACGACTGCAGATCTTATGACAGCCCTGTCTGGTATGTACGAAAAGCTATTGGTGAATAACAAGGTATATCTGATGAAGAAATTATTCAATTTGAAGATGATGGAAGGTACGTCTGTTGTACAACACCTGAATGATTTCAATACTATCATAAATCAATTATCGTCTGTGGAGGAAATTGAATTGAATTTGATGATGAGATATGTGCACTGATATTGTTGGTTTTATTGTCAAATAGCTGGGAAGTTACGAGGATGGTTGTCAGTAATTCTGCAGGTAAATCTAAACTGAAATTTGAAGATATTTGTGAATTGATTTTGGCTGAGGAGGTGCGCAGGAAAGATTCTAGCGAGATCTCAGGTTCAACGAGAGCGAGATCTCAGGTTCAAGTTCAGCATTAAATGTTGATTCCAGAGGGAGATCACATACAGGAACTCAAACAGGAGATGATCAAAATCAAATAACAGAAATAAGAGCAAGTTAAGGCCTAGTAAACAACTAACTTGCTAGAATTGTGACAAAACTAGTCACATAAGGAGGAATTGCAGGAATCCTAAGAAGGAGAATAACAGTGAAAATGTGGTAACTGAAGAATCACATGATGCACTACTGCTGGCAGTTCATAGTTCTGTTGATGACTGGATACTAGATTCAGGAGCTTCTTTCCATAAAACTTTCATCGGGAATTGATGCGAAATTATGTTGCAGATGACTTTGGGAAGGTATATCTGGCAGATGGAGAAGCTCTGAAAGTGGTAGGAATAGAAGATATTGACATTGCATTTCCAAACAAGAAGAAGTGGTTTTGCAAAAGATCAGACACATTCCTGAACTGAAGAATGACCTCATTTTTGTTGGGCAACTTGATAAGTGTGGACATTCAGTAGTGTTCTCAGATAGCACCTGAAAGGTTACTAAAGGAGCATTGGTACTGGATCGAGGTAAGAAAACATGTACGTTGTATATGCGTACTTGTTTAATTAACAGTGTTGATACTACTGTTGCAGAGAGCATAGCAGAGTTGTGGCATTACAGACTTGGCCACATGAGTTAGAAAGGTATAAAAGAACTTCAGTCCAGAGGTAAGCTACCAGAACTGAAGTTAGTTGATCTCGACATCTGTGAGAGTTGCATTATGGGGAAGCAGAGAAATGTCAGTTTCTTGAAAAGTGACAAGATGTCAAAGGTAGGAAAGCTGGATCTTCTACACACAGATATGTGGGGACATTCTCCAGTGACATCTCTTGGAGGCTCTCGTTACTACATCACACTCATTGATGATCATAGTAGAAATGTATGAGTTTATTTTTTGAAGTATAAATCTGATGTATTTAATGTGTTCAAAACTTGGAAGGTCATGATTGAGACAGTGACATGCTTAAAGTTGAAATGTTTGAGGTCTGATAATGGTGGTGAGTACATTGAAGGTGAGTTCAAGGAATACTGTGCAGTTCAGGGAATCAGAATGGAGAAGATTACTCCAGGGACACCACAGTAAAATGGTATTGCAGAGCGCATGAACAGAACCATTAATGAGCGCACAAGAAACATGAGATTGCACGACAGACTACAACCTACTTTCTGGGCAAAAGGGGTCAGTACTTCAATTTATTTGATCAATAGGGCGTCATCTGTTCCATTAAACTGTGAATTACCTGAGGAAGTCTGGAGTCGGAAAGAGGTAAAATTTTCTCACCTTAAGTAAGCTTGAGGCTAAGTCAAAGAGGTGTTATTTTTTTTGTTATGGAGATAATGCATTTGGATATCGTTTCTGGGATGATCAGGGTCAGAAGATCATAAGAAGCAAGAACGTGATTTTCAATGAGAATGTTATATACAATGACAAGTCCAACACAGTTTCTGAAACAGTAATGAAGAAATCTGAGTTAGTAAAGTTTGATGATTTATCAGTGATCACAGTGCAGGACAGAGATGCAGGTGACGAGGAGAGTGGATATGGGGTATCCACACTTATTGTTCTACAGTCAATTTCAGAAGTCCACCCCTATAGTTGCAGTTCGCAGATCAGAAAGGGCTAGACGTTCTCCACAGCGTTATTCACCAACTTTGAACTATATTATGTTGACAGATGGTGGAGAACTTCAGAGTTATGAAAAAACCTTGCAAGATGAAAATTCGAGCAAGTGGGAGCTAGCCATAAAGGAGGAGATGGATTCTCTGCTAGATAATCAGACTCGGAAGGTGGCAGATATTCCATCTGAGAAGAAGACATTACACAACAAGTAAGTGTACCAGGTGAAGACTAAGCATGATGGTCGTAACATGAACAAGGCTAGACTTGTTGTAAAGGGTTTTCAGGAGAAGCACGGTATTGATTATTTAGAGATTTTCTCTCCTGTGGTGAAGCTTACAACCATCAGAATGATATTGTCTATGGTGGCTATTGAAGATCTCTTTCTTGAGTAGCTAGATGTGAAGACAGTCTTTCTTCATGAGGATCTTGAAAAAGACATCTACATGCACCAACCTGAATGTTTCGTGGTACTGGGAAAGGAAGAGTCAGTTTGTAGATTGAAGAATAGCTTATATAGCTTGAAGCAAGCACCTAGACAGTGGTACAAGAAATTTGATAATTTCATGCACAGTACAGGGTACAACAGATGTCAGGCAGATCCAGGCAGATCACTGTTGTTGTTGTTACGTCAAGTATTTTGACAATTTTTATGTCATCTTACTGATGTATGTGGATGATATGCTTATTACAGGTGCTAGTATTGAGGAGATCGATAATCTGAAGGAATAGATGTCAAAGCACTTTGCAATGAAGGATTTGGAAGCGGCAAAACAAATCCTTGGTATGAGAATTATCATAGATAAAGTCGAAGGCATGTTGAGACTCTCTCAGACTGAGTATGTGAAAAAGCTACTTAGCAGGTTCAACATGGAGAAGGCCAAACCAATTGACACACTCTTGGGAAGTCACTTCAGACTCAGTAAGAATCAGTCACCCAAGTTAGAGAAGGAACAAGACCACATGAGTAAGATTCCTTATGCTTCAGCTATTGCTTCACTTATGTATGTTATGGTTTGCACCAGACCGGATATTGTCCATGCAGTGAGAGTCGTTAGCAGATACATGAGTAATCCTGGAAAGAAACATTGGGAAGCAGTGAAGTTAATCTTGAGGGACGTAAGAGGCTCTTCAGAAACTTGCTTATGTTTCGCAAGAAAGAGTTCAAAGGTACAAGGCTATGTTGATGCTGATCTAGCTAGAGACATTGATACCAGAAGAAATACTACGGGCTATATTTATACTATCGGTGGCACCACAGAATCATAGGGCTCTTATCTGTAGAAGAAAGTTTCATTGTCTACTACAGAAGCTGAGTACATAGCAGTGTCAGAGGCTGCAAAGGAGATGATATGGCTACAGAGCTTCTTGAAAGAATTGGGTAAGAAAGATTAGAAGGGCATTCTCTATAGTGATAGAGCGTCGTGTCAGGAATCCAACATTTCAGTCCAGGACTAAGCACATTCAGATCAGATAACACTTCATACCGTCATTGTTGGGATGATGAATAGTTGTTGCTTGAGAAAATTTATAGAAGCCAAAACCCTGCTGATATGTTGACAAATGGTGTTACTCTTGAGAAACTGAAGTTGTGTGCAGCTTCAGTTGGTCTTCTCGCTTGAAGACAGAGGTCTTGAGTTGCAGCGGTGGAGGATTCATGCTTGAAGAAAAGGGCTACGCCGCTAGTTGAGGATATCAGTCTGAGGAAGAAGAAGTTGGAGTCTGTGTACCGGTCTCTAAGTGAGAGATTTGTTGACGTGGAGCCCAATAAAATATATAAAAAATAAAAAAAATTTATCGTAACTGCCCTCCCGATTTTTCCCCTACGCTTCTTCAGTTCGTGAACACCTCCCATTCCGTTCGTGCGCGTGAAACCTCCTGCTCCTCCTTCGTTCGCGAAAAATCCCTCCCGCTTCGTCTTCTTCGTTCGCGAAAAAGCCCTCCCGCTTCGTCTCTTTGTTCGCGAAAAAGAAACTCCTCCCGTCTCCGTCTCCTTCACGCGAAACAGAAACTCTCGCCTCCTTCATTTCGCGGAAGCAGGGAAGGAGCGGAATTCCTGCTTGGATTGCTTAGATTCTTGTTGAGGCTTACGAGAAGCAGAAGGCAAAAAAAATTGTTTTTGCAAAGTACTCTTTCTTAGTTGATTTTGCGTGCTTGGAAGGAAGAAGGCGTTCTTCTTGAATTCTCCTTGGTGACTTGCGGAAGAAGAGAGATTTTTTCTCTTGTACATTTTTTATTCTTCTTCAGTGTATCTCGAGCGTAAAGAGAAGAGGAAGAAGTGAAAGAAAGAGTTTGCTCTTGTAATTGTTGAGACGTGATCAAACTAGTGTAAATTTTTCAATTAGTAAAATCCTCTACAAATCCGTGGATGTAGGCAAGTTGTCAAACCATGTAAATTTGTGTGTTCTTTTGGTGTGAATTTTTTTCTCGTTCTATTTTTCGCTTCGTTGTAGATCATTTTATTTTCAATATACACCACATCTTTTGTAGTCATAACGAAGATGTCAATGCTATGCAACTTGCAGTAAATGAGATGAAAGCTCTTGTAGCAGTGTTAGATGAGCATTAATATAGAAGATAAAACATTGGAGGACAAGACCTATGTGAATATTCAGAGTGGATCCACATCATCCCTATTTGTAGATTTGAGCCCATCAACAGTCGCACAACCATGAACGAAGAAGTCAAATTTTAGGCAATCCGCCATTCAAGATTCAAGGCCTTAAGGGGCTCCAAGATGTAAAGGCACAGCTCCTTATTACTATTCTTATCTAACATTTAACTTAGATTGGAGTACTTTGAAGAGTGATATTCGATACATTATAAGATGTTAATTACATACGATGGTATGATTCCATTATAGATGACTACAGAACATTCATTGTTACAAGACCCTGTGAAGTCTAAGAACATTCAGAGGACTAACTTGGATAGTATCCATGGCTCCCAAGTTGGCCAATCACTGAACGGCTTTGTTCCCTTTTTCTTTTCTTTTTTTTTTCTTTTTTTTTGTGTTTCTCTACCTAAAAATGAATAATAATATGATTCTTTTCATCCAAAAAAGCAAAAAGAGTAGAAGCGAGCAAAAAAAAAACTGAATGTACTGGTTAAAGAGCCATGACAAAACATTAATAAAAGAACTATTGAACATTGTCATCAGATAAATAATTCATACCCATGCCCGATAACAAAACGGATGATGATGCCCTTTTCTTCTTCAAGCTTCCTTCTTTTCTCGCCTTTTTGAAATATTGGAACAGATAAATGCTGAAAAATTATAGCCATAAGCATAAGAATAAAGTGAAAAACAGGAAAAACTTCAAACCTTGAGGCATCCAAGTTTTGCGAACTGAATCTCTTCGTTTACGGCTGCTAAAAGCAGTGTTGACCCCTACAACCATTAAATATTTCCTTCTTCCAACAGCCGGCATATCCCTCAGCTCATCCGATAAAGGAGAACCATTGATTATAGACTCCTGTGTGGCTCTTGCTGCTTCTAATTCCATTTCTAATTTTTCTACAGTTTTGTCTAAAGTGCTGCAAATAAGAAGGAAATGTAGAATTTTATGAGGTATAATCATGATGAAGAAAATTCAAGATGAGGACACTCAAAAAATATTTCATTTTCCTCACTTGACGGCATAATTGGCTTTTGATGCTTCTCCTAGCAACTCTTTAGAATCTCTGTTTTCGCTGATCTAAAGTTAATAATGCATGAGAAATCTCAATCAGACAGATTATGTAATAGGCAAAGGGCAGAAAAAGGATTTCAAACATGAAAAAGTTCGGTATAAATGATGGCTGCATAAGTTAACAGTTGCTTTCCTGTTGCACTTATAATTTGATTCAATAAAATGCAAAACCGATTACATGATGAAATGCATAATTGAAATTAGTAAGGAGCAATTTGATTTGCTCAAAAAGAAATGATGATGCAATGAATATAATCTTTGGAATATTTTTAGAGTTGCTTGGCTGGGTGTAAAACAAGAACATTATGATTATTTTTTTGGCGATTCATTAAAGTAAAATGAATTCAACCTAAAGCCTGGCGGCGACGGCCGCTGGATTACTAAGAATGAAATGAAAAGAAGAATCTCCTCGAAACTACAAGAATAACATGCTATAATTGCAAGCAATGAAAGGATCAATACAAGTAACACAGGATTCATACTCACAATTTTTGAGTTGCAGCCTCCAGCCAGCTTGTTCCTTGCATCTTGTGGCTCAGGCAATGTCCATAATCTACAATCAAATTCAAGATTTAGTACAACAAAAGCAGAAGAAAATCATAAACATGCAGTACCATCAAGCAAAAAAAGTTCATAAATCTTGAAATGAACGGTAATTTAAGGCAGAAAAAGCGCTTTTCAGCTAGTAGAATGGAAAAAAAAAAGGACAAAAAAGAAAGGTAGAAAGGCACATTTTAATTACAAACTTCTAATTTAATTGCCATTAAGGCTGAACTTACCCCTCCAAAAGCCTTCTTGAAAAAGAAAATTATCATTACAGAAAAGCACAAGTAAAAACTGTACAGTTCAAACAGTTGACCATTAATTATTCAAACAATTCGCACCACTAAAAGTAAGCAAAGAAAGGACTGAACTCCTCAAGCTTCCGAAACAAATTGATTAACAGACTATTTTAAAATTTCATTCTAATAATCTCACAGAACTAAAAAGAAATAACGAAAACATAATTAACTTCATAACAGGAATGGCAAAGTCCTCTCTTTATCAGTCCCACCCCCATCAACAAGCAATAAAAGAGATAAGAAATGAAAAAGATAAAACAAGAAGCTACTACCATCATAAATCCGCCAAAGTATAAAACTCGACTCATCTAATTTACTGAATTCAGCTAAAATCACAATGAAAAAATAAAATTTTCTTTAGACATTGAAATGCCCCCAAATTAACCGAAGGCTGAAGTTACCTATTTGTGAAGACGAGCCCAGCGCAGAAGCATAAAATACAAAGCATGAGCGTCCATTTCGTGGAAACCACACTTCTAGTCTGCAACTCCCCAAAAGTTCCACCTTTGCTCTTCCAATGCATCGCTACTCTGCTTTCCTCTTCAAATCCCTACTCATAGAACCAAATAACCCTCCTCTCTTTAAGTTTCTTATTCAAATACCTCAAAAACTTTACCAAATTTAAGAGAAAGCGTGGCAAAAATCCCAATTTTGAGATGTGTCTTTCACAACGAACCAAACAAGGTATAGGCTAGGAGGAGTAGAAAGCTAGCTTGTAAAAAAAACAGCAGTTTCTTAAGACTTTGGCTCTTCTGGCTGCCATCTCTTTACCTTTCTTCCTGTCTGGCATTTGAGGAAAAGAGATAGAAGACCTTCACCTACCGGTCGGTAGCAGCTACGGTCAGGCGCTCTCTCTCTCTCCCTCTCCCTCTCCCTCTCCCTCTCTCCTGCCTGTTATTAGGTGCGCCTGATCTATAAACTGAAGGATTTATAATTTATTAATATTATTTAAAAGCTTAAATCATTGCAATTTCAGTTTTTTTTTTATTTTCTATTATATTCATTTTAATTTTTGTTCAATTTACATATGTATCAAATAATCATTTTTAAGTATTTATATATCTAACATTTACTTTTAAAATTTAATTATATAACACCCAAAATTTTAATATTATTATTAAAATTATTATTATTATTAATTTTAAAAATGAAATACATCTTTTATCCAAGCATATTAATGTAATTAAGTCATAAAAATATTACATAGCTAAATATTAAATATATGAATACTTAAAAAGTATGTAATTTGTATGTGAATCGCCTTTCACTCTTTTTTTCCTTTATTTTCTTCCCTTCATAAACTATAAAATTATGTATTTAAATATTAAATATATAATTCTTTGTCCAGTTAATAGGTAGAGTCACTGTAAGTCCCCTCTGGCAAGGGTTTGATCCTATCGTGATGCGTGGTGGTCGAATTTTAGGCACATGGCACGGGCTCTCATCATGGGGACGGATTGCGCATGAGAAATCGATATTTGGTAATTTCCTTTTAAAAATCTATATATTGAGGACAACCCTCTTTTATATAAAAGGCTTGATGGGAAAGTACCAAGCATCATAACAACAACTGCCAGAAGTAGTTGTTTGGCCATGACTTGGCCTTGTTAATTATTGCACAATCATTAATGGTAGGGCTAACAAAGAGAACACATTTATTTAATACCAGACATCATTGCGATCTATTTGTAGATTAGGTTCCATGCCAAGACTATAACCCTTTTTTTTTCTCTTTTGTTTAGTATCTCAAGCAAGTCTATTCTTATCATTGATTTAATGATTCATTCACAAAGCTTGAGGAGTTGGTTTGCAATTCTTATGGAAATTCATTAAATTATGATAAGTTGACATTCGATGACATTCCATGAAATGTGGCAAGTGGCAAGTGGCAACAAGCAATTGTGATGTGACAATTTTAATTGCTATACTAATGATGTTTCGGAGTTTGATATATATTGATGAATTTTTATGGAGCTCTAAAATTGGAAATGTTTGCCTAATGTAAGTTGGGTCTATTTGTGGTTGTAATACGTCAAAATTCAGTGATTATCTTATGATATGAGATGGCTTGTAATAAGAGATGATATATATATATATATATATATATATATATATATTATATTTAATCAAAAATCTTTCGAGTTAAAATGTTGAGTGATGGTGGTGAATTTAATGCTTCAATAAATTCAATTTAAATGTTTCATGTGCATTATAGTCCACCATAGATGCAATATAAAATTTCCGAAATACTTTTGTAGTACCTCATAAATTTATACCAACTTTTTTTATATTAATATTTAAACATAGAGGAAAACGACATAATATATAAGGTATATGCAGAAGTTGGTAGATCTATTGAAGAGTTGAGGAAGAGTTTTCGTACTAACTATAAGATTTAAGTTCAAAACACAATTTTAACCGCTAAAAATTAGCCTAATTGATATTAAGAATTAACTTAGAAGAATATATATATATATATATATATATCATTTCCATATCTAAAATCTAAAGCTTGATATTTACATCTATGACATTTTGGTCAGGGTTGGACCAGCCTCTTTTTTTAAGGGGGCGCAAGCTACCCCCTAGACTATCAGAGGAGCTAGGACAAAGAAAGTGTTGAGAATTTTATGACGAAGAAAAATAGGAATCGGCACAAAATCAGAAGAGAACACAGAGATTTAACGAGGTTCAGCAAAGATGTCTACGTCATCGAGAGCAGAGAGACGGTTTTTCTTCAATTCAGAAAAAGAAGAGTACATAATATCCTAGGATTACAAAACAAGACATATATATAACTCTAGAATACAATATGTAATTACAAAATTACTCTTGTACCGTACCGCGGGGGCAACTCCCCACACCCCCACTCATATAACGAAACTCTCCCAATTGCACAGATTTTTCTGCTCCGCCCCGCTGGCTCGTTCCGTTCTGCGCCATCATCTGCCCCTTTCATGATATATGATTCATATCTAACAGAAGGGAAAATTCATAATTTAGAATAGACAAAAAATCAAATTACCCTTTAATATAAATAAAAAATCTGAATTTAAAGGCGGGCAATTACCTCCTCTGAATCGTATTTAGGTCTGCTCGTGATTTTGGTGGATTAATATTATATATGAAAAGATGCAGTTCACTTGATAAAATTTGAGTTATATTTTTTATGTGATGTTAATAATTTTTTGAGTGTTATGTAAGTAAATAAAAAAAAATTGTAGATATATAAAAATTATGTGGTATGTATGGTTGGTCTGTCTCCAGTCAAGTTGGTGACGGCCATTTTTATTTTCTTTTATTTTTGGATCGTGGAAGGAAGCACGACGGTCGAACAGAATACAGACTGAGGATAAAAAATATATATATTTCAGGCGTCGTCATCCCATTCTTTGTGTACGGACTCAAAAGCTTAAACCTAATCGGCAATTCTGATTTAACCGATCTTCAATGTTAGTTCGATAAAATATTACATCTTGTAACTCGTGTGCACTGAATATTGTGCAACAGTTAAGATAATAATATATTATTTTAAGGGCACTAATTTCTTGACACGCTGTATATTTACTTATTTATAAATAAAGATATAATAATAATAATAAAATTATTTAGATGTTAACATTTTCGGACCGGCGTCATCTGATATGAATCTCGAGATGTTATATAAATTCTTAGGCAATCTTTTGAATGGTAAACATTTAAACTTCATTTAAAATTCACTTAGAATTCTGACTTTAGTAAAGTTATAGTCAAATTGATGAGTTCGATGAGACGGAATGATATTAATATTAGTTTAATCCTAGTAAAATCAACTTCAGATCAAGCCATTAAATCATACTTAGCAGATATCTGAATACATTTGGAAGGTCAAACGGATGTCGAATCCAATGAGTTTATAGTCAAATCGAACGTCTAAGCGAGAAGAATACAACGAGTCCAAGATCACTCAATTCTGACATCATTATGTCATTCTATGTCCCACTATAAAGCCCACCGCTTTCATAAAATTGGGAGAGTTTGAAGCCTGAAAAAACTTGAAGCTTTGAGGAGTTGAAATCCAGCATCACTCTTGTCACTATCGATCACTGTCAACCTCCGTAAACCATCGTCGACCAACTTCTCTCGGTCTCCACCGATCGTCATCGAATGCCACAAACTTCTTACAATAAGTTCATTTGATTGTCGATGCTATAATTTGGAAGATGTTGTAACTATTTCCTGCTTTTGAGATAAGTGTTTTTTATAATCCTCAACTTAAAGCGAATTTTTACAAATGGGTCAGGCCTCGTGATTTTTTCCCTTTACCGGATTTCCGCGTAAAAATTATGGTGTCACTACTATTTGTTTTCTTTTATCTGAGTGTGTGATGAATTCTTGTGCAATGCTAAGATAATAATCTATTACTCTACTGTTACGAATTTTCTAGCACGCATCAATAATAAATTGGATGTGATCTGAGTCGTATCATAGACATGAGGTGTAATATTTTCGGACGTATGGTGTGGTTTGATTCATATTTTCATCCAAATTCTAGTAAAAATCAGCGGAAAAAATTTGATGAGTGATATATAAAAAAAAAAGGAGGAAGAAAGTAAGAGGAATAAGACAAAAAAGTAAGTTAAAATGCATAGAGCAAATAGAAAACTAGAATATGAAGAAACTCTCTCATTTTCCAAGTAAATCACTTACAAAAGCAAAAAAAGAAAAGCATCATTTCTTTTGTCTTGATTATGTTTCTCGAAAAACGAAACAAGGAAAAAAGAGAAATAAAAAATAAAAAAATATTCCATTCTCATTTAAGACTTTTCCCGGGTGAGCAAACAAAGATACTTTTCTGGGACAAGCAAATAAAGTCTTTCATTCACAACAGCAAATAAAGTCTCTCATCTGGGACTAATAAACAAAGCCTCTCCAGTAAAAAATGACTTTCCTCCGGGATTAAAAAACAAAGCCTCTCCTTCATGAAGAGCAAATAAAGTTTATCTCCAGCCTCCTCCGGGACGAGTAAAAACTTAAAATATCATTATTTTAATTTTTAAAATGTGAGATGCATAATTAAGGGGTGTGCGCAGGTAAAATATGAAGTTTAGCTTGTGGATATTTAAGTAGATAAGAATTGTGTGGCATGTATCTAGGAGTTTGTTTGGGGCTGTTGCAGCTATTCCAATAAGTTGCAGGGAAACTGTTGTAGAAAAGTTGGTTGCTTATTTATTTTTTACAACTTGAAAACAGTTGTGTGGCAGGTGTGCCTGGATAAATAACAATTCTGCCCTTGTGCAATAATATTGTTTGTAATTGAACTGTCATAGGAACATATATTGATACTTGAGAAGCAAAAATTATTTCAAAACCATAAAAAAAAAGATACATACCTCACATAACAGCGAATACAGAATGTCCTAAAAAAAGAAAAAAAAAAATATGAAAATTACATTTTAAAAAATGATAATATTAATTTTAAAATATATCTGGCGTATGTCCCGGGTTATGTCGTCCTCTGGAGATGTCATCCAACCTCAATCATTATCGACAGTGAAATATGTAGGGTTGTCTGTCAACCGACAGAAGTCAAACTTCTCCGAACAGTCTGCCCACCGCAAGCACTTGTAGAACTTTCTCTTGTAGCTTTGTGTCAGCAAGAAATGCTATAGTCCGCAGTGGCAGAGCACTCGTCGGGAGGTCCCTAAAATTTTGGAGCTTATGTTTTTTTGAATGATTAAAATGACAATCCAAAGAACAATAACAATGCCTAAGTTGGACCTACAATAAATTTTTATTCCTGTTTTTTTTATAGACCCTCATGCAGACCACTCGAATGATGCGATGACCATGCCACAAACAATATAGAGCCTGACCCAAACATATCTAAAATCGGATTG